CTGCATGTTTGTGAATCAATTCAGTCAGTTCAATTATGGACCTACAAGAAAGTCCATCACAATAAACGTAGACCAAATTTAGTAAAAACATGTCATTATTCATGCAGTGATAACTAAAAACCATTTCACGATACTATCCAGAAATATTGTCCTTCACTGTCATGGGGACGGTACAGACAAGCACAACCCATCAGAGAAACGACGTATACTGACATAATCCATGCATTTCTCATCTTTTGACTGATAACCAGCATATGAATGTTACTTTAGTTAATAGACCATTTGTCCACAAACCAAGATTCAGTTTTAACCAATTAAAGATCAAGAAATTATCCTCTTTAAGTGTTTCATCCTGCAAAACACAGGTAATTCAATCGGTAAACGGCCAAAAGGCTTTTCCATTTAGGAATCCAAAAAAGGGGAACTGATTATCTGATGATTGAACTAAGATGTATATTACGAGTTCCCAATGGAGAATAAAAACCGCAAAGATTCCAAGAATGATCACATTTCATTTATGACGCATCATAGGAGCCATGAATAAAAGGCTTAAAGTAGCATTTGGTATGGGAAGCAAATAAGTTGCTCAAGATCAATATAGAAGAGCCTCAAAAGGAGAATTAGCTATGATGAAGCAGATATCCTGGCAAACAAGAAATAATCAGAAGTTTCAAAAACCAGTGTGGGTTTGCATTTAGTGTGGTGATGCTGCTATTTATGTGATTTCTTCTTTAAAGATGGAGATTGATAGAGAAATTGTTGCATTGCTTCAAGGTCTGTGGCCAATCGTGCATGATCCACCAGAGTGTTCTCCTAAGAGCCCTAAATTTTTGTGCATATATATGCTGTTCTAGTCTACTCAAAAAGTGACAGCATGCTGATGCTCAAATTTGGATAATGTGTTGCATCCCTAATTTATTCAAGTATGAGGAAATGACTATGTTCAAATTTGAATGACAAGTATCTCCTTTTTAAAAAACTTGTTCCTCGCAGTGCACTGGGTTCTCCTTTATCTTTTAATTCATATAGTCATGCGTATCCTTTATCTCTTTTGTTGATATTCCTAATTCCCCCGTTGCTCTAGCTAAGGGATCATTCTGTAGTGTGTCCGGAGTCTGGACAGGGAACAGTCATGCCTTCTTCCTTTTCCCTGTCCTCCATGTCATATATTCCAAAGTCTCCTTTCAATTTGGTGTATGTGAGTAAATTAACCAAATCTCTTCATTGCTCCGTAACTTTATGTCTTTCAGAATCTAACGACGAGGACGATTGGTGGCGGGTATGAGTTAGGTGGCCTATACTATTTGGATCATGACCTGATTGGTTGGTAATATTCTTCACTTTGTTGCTTCTCTCTTCTTATTGCATTGTCAGCTGGGCCATCCTTCCCTCAATAACTTGAGGTTGTTAGTCCCTTCTCTAGAGTCTTGTGTCTACTTTAGAGTGTGACTGTGTGAGGCTTGTCAGTTAGGCAAGCATCATACGGTGTCAATTCGTCCTAGAATCGATAAACAGGTATCTTTTCCATTTATAATTGTTCATTCCAATATCTGCGGTCCTGCTAGAGGACAAAGTTTGTCTGGTTGTAGATATTTTGTAACTTCGGTGGATGGTTATTTGTGAATTACATGGTTATATTTAATAAAATAGAGACTTGAGATTCTCTGTTTCTAAATTGTTTCACAAGGAGGTTCAATCCCAATTCCAAAAGAATGTATGTGTTTTGTTTTCTGATAATGCTAAAGAATATCTTCACAAAGAATTTCAAAATTATTTTTCTTAAAATAAAATTTTACATCAAACTTCTTGCATGCACACTCCACAACAGGATGGGCTTAATGAAAGGAAAAACTTGACATTTACTTGAAGTGACTCGTGATCTGCTAATTAATATGTGTATTCCAGTGGTTTAAAAAACGGATCGGTGATCGGTGAATCGGCATTTCGGATCGGGAATCGGTCGAATTAGTCAGATTCGGCCTTAAAAAAATTCAAAAAAATTATTAAAAATCACTATAAATGTTGTTTTTTAGAAATCCAATAAGAAATGAGGGTAATACATTAATAACTTTTATTTTTTTGCAGCAACATGCGAATATTGAGATGCTCTTTCCCTGTATGAAGATTCTCATCAAACATTTATTAAAACCTAACTAAATACAATGTTATACATTGAAATTAGAATTATTGGTTTGTATTTTATTATTGAATCATCATTTTACTATACAAATAATAATAAATTTGAAATGTCTTATAATATCATCTAATTTTAATATCAAATTTACAACTATAACAAAAACTAATACATTGCATAATTTATAATGTAAATAAATTAATAAAAAAATATAAGATTTGATTATCATTGTAATTAGTATAATTATTAATTACAATATTATCATAAACGTGATTCAAAAAACAAGGGTATGACCCTTACAAACAAATAAATCGAATGTATAATAATTTGTGCTGATAGAAATAAAGAAGTAACATAAATTTGCAATCACATTTTAATAAAATTAGGAAAATAAATAAAGAAATTCATATTTGCAATGTGAGATAATTGATAAAGCAACTTGAAATAAATTCTAAAGTGGTATGAGCTAGTGTTAGTTTTCTCTCTTAAAATATCCCATAAACTAGTACTTTTTTTTTAAATTTTCAATAAAGGTATTATTTTTCTCTTTTTTTAATATCCTATGAGCTAATACAACAATTTCATATAATTTACAGTCATATTTTAATAAAATTTAAAAATAAATAAATAAATTCATACTTGAAATGTGGGGTAATTGAAAAAGCAACTTAAAAATAAATTCTTAAGTGGTATACGTTAGTGTTATTTTTCTCTCTTAAAATATCCCATAAACTAATATTTTTAAAAAAATATTTCTATTTTTTACTTTTCTTAATATATTATGAGCTAGTACTAATTTTTTTTAATCCTAATTAGATAATAGCCTAATATTAATCATATAATGAAATAATCCTATGAGATAATAGTCTAATAGTATTAGTATATTTATTTTAGTTTTTGGGTAAGTAAATTTTAATTCTTTTGGTGAAAGATAAGGGTGGTTGGCCCTATCACCCAATTATTATTTTTAATAATTTTCTTTCTTTTTTTATCATGTAATTTAATGCCATTTAATGCCAGAAGCACACCTCGTATTGACGGCCCACCCATCCCCCAATAGTACTAATCTATACGTTAATACAATAAGGGTTGGGCTATGAGAATTGTCCCACATCGAAGAGATGTGGAACGAAAGTGGCATATAAAAGGAGTTGAAACAACTCAAACAACGAGTTGTTAGGGGGTAGGACCACGTGCTCCCATGGGATGCTTTTTCCCACGTAAGTAAATGATGGGACTTTTAGTGAATATTTTAGTAAGAAAAATGATACGGATGCGACCTACCCAACAATTTGAGACATCACGTGATGTCATCATGGCGATTTAAAGGTGATGTGTGATGTCACCTGACGTCAGCATGGCGATTTAAAATCTAATCAGTCGAATCTCGTTTTCCCATTTTTTCCTTAGATCTGGGACGGCTTGGGCGATATGATCCGGATTGCTTGATTCCGGATCGGATCGCCGATTTTTCAAACACTGGCGTATTCCAAAAGTTTATTGGGAAGATCCTTGCTGGCCTCATGTTACTTAAATGAACATATGGCTTGATACAAATTTCTTTTATCTTGCTCTGGGAGAAGTCTCAAAGTCCTTATCTTCTATAGTTCTTCATTCATGTTTATAGTTCTTCACCTTACTTATTTGCCCTTGCTGAACCTATTACTTCTACACATCATGATGTCTCTTAGGAGCAGCCAATAAAGGCTTACACGAGAAGAAAAGTAAAGGATGGACACCTTCCACCAACTTAACCAGCCACTCAATCATCACATTCGCCTATAGATCCACTTCCTACTTCCAACTTATATTTTGTGCTAGAGATCACAATGTACCTATTGCCATCCGTAAAAATATAAGGTCTTGTACTCAATATCCCATTGCTCATTATGTTACATTTACAAATTTGTCTCCATCCTATCAAAGTTTTGTTTTAGCTCTTTCATCGATTCTATCCCGAAGTCCATATCGAGAAGCACTTTCTATTAGTTGGTAGAAGAAAGCAATAGAACAGGAAATAGATGTGCTTAACTTGAATAATACATTGGAGCTCAATGAGTTACTAACTGGAAAAAGGATTGTTGCTGTTGTTGGGTTTATGCAGCGAAATGTCAGCACGATGGCTCCGTCTAAAGATTAAAAGCCAAATTGGTTGCCAAAGTATACACCAAACTTTTGGCATTGATTACTCTGCAACTTTTGCTCCTATTTCTAAACTTAATTTAGTTTGAGTACTCATATTTGCAGGAGCAAACAAGTGCTGGCCACTGCGGTAGCATCATATTAAGAATGCCTTCCTCCATGGTGATTTACAAGAAGAGGTGTATATAATGCAACCACCTAGGTTTGTTGCTAAGGGGGAGTCACACAAGGTATGCAAGTTGAAGAAAGCCATTTACTATCTGAAGCAGTCTCCACATGCATGGTTTGACAAATTTAGTGAAAATTATCGTGCGACATAGATTTTGAAGCAGCCATGTTGGAAACAGAACTCCAGGATAATTGTCTTAATTGTTTATGTGATGATATTGTCATTACATGGAATGATAGTATTTGAAGAGGCATCTAAAACAATATGTTCATATAAAAGATTTGGGCCAGCTAAGGTATTTTTTAGGAATCGAGGCAGCCAAAATAAGGCATGTCATTAGTTTGTCTCAAACAAAGTACATAATTGACTTGTTGATAGAAACTAGAATGCTCGGTGTTAAACCAGCCGATATTCCTATGGATTCAAATACAAAATTATTGGCTGAAAAGGAGTTGTTGGAGGCTCTAGGAAGGTGCAGAAAGCAAGTAGCCAGGCCGAGTTAATTAACCATCACTAGACCTAATATTACTTTTGCAGTACGTGCAGTGAGTTGGT